CCCCCAGCCCAACTACGCGGACACGCTCATCAGCCAGGAGAGCTGTGGGAAAAGCGAGCCTCTTTTGCTGTCAGGTAGTTCAGCGTTCTCTAAAGATAATCATGCATTAATTCAGGTGAGTACATATCAAATATTCTTCTCTGGGTTTTGAACAAGATATCTCTCTTAGTGTGGGTAGCGTGTATTTCGAATTTAGAAAGCAGACACCAAAAAATTTATATATGTGTGGTAGACACCAAGGACAACTTGGAAGTCTTCTCTCATGCCTTATTTATAACAATGTTTATCTATTTTATATATATATATAAATTTATAACCACTTTGGTACTTTTTAAATACTCTATTTTTTCTAATTTAATTAACCAGGTGTACCTTCTTTTAATTGGCCTTTATTTACCTTTGGCCGCACATTTTTATGTTGAACATCTGATGCCAATTTATCCATTAAAAACCCAAATTCTTATAGAGGGATTCACTCTAATTTATGAAAAATACAAATGCAATTTCAAATAAACTTTTATGAGTAGAGGGGTTTCTAACTACACATGAAGTTGCTAACAAATTAATAAAGTGCATTTAGTTTCTTTTAAAGTGAAGTAATTGTGGTCATTAGGGGTGCTTAAATTTATACTTTCTTAGGTCCTAAGTCATTTCATGGTTTCACACAATTCTTGAACTTACAAATATACCGAGTTTATTTTCTACATACTTAAAACTTTGTCATTGAAATATGCAAACAGAGGTGCCCCACTGGCTTAGTGAGTAAGAGTAGCATACTCTTGATCTGGGGTTGTAAGTTCAAGCCCCATGTTGGGTGTAGAGATTACCTAAAAGTAAAATCTTAAAAAATTATATGCAAACAGTGTAAGTGTTGTCATGAAGAAAAACTGAAGAGATTGCTTATTTTTCATCCCCATTGTAGTTTTTTAGGAATTCAATGTATGTATGTGTTTCCAGGGGAGATACTTCTTTAGTTTACCCATACCGATGATCTTGATGATGACTTTGTGAAACACTCAGTTAACAAATTGTGTTTTGAATGCCTTTTTGGTAATGTGGTGCATCTGCAGTAGTCTCTCTTCTTACGTAAGTTTCCATAACTTTCACACATAGAAAAAATTATGGAAAGTGCTCAGATTCTAAGTATTTTTTGAGAACCTAATGCTTATTGTATAATGTTGAACGTAAATTGAATGCTAACTCATATTATTCTTGGGAAAGCATTGCTGGAACCTGTAAGAAGTTTAGATCTTTGGGTGAATTCTGTAAAGGGGTAGGGAATCATAGCATCCTTGTTATTTTCTCTTTGTTACCAATCTCCTTTCAAAAATCCAATAGTTAATATCTAGAATTATAAAGATTAGAAATCATTTGAGAAAGAAAGATAATTAAATAGCCCGAAAATGAGGCAGTTACTGCTAATGAATTGACATGTCACTTTATGTTTTGTGACAACTAATACAAAAAAAAACAGAAACATAGTATGGTTCTATTTGTCTGATTTTTTTAAAAAGGAAGTTTTTGAGTCTACCTGAAAATGCAAATTTTGTATTGACATTAAGTTCCAATGGAACTTAATAAGTAGAGCTTTCTAAGTGATATCACTGGGATTAATGGGCAGTATGATCTCTTGTTTTGTAAAAGCTATCAAAATGTTTATCACAGGCCAGTTCTCACATGGTGGTCAATTCAAAATGAAAGACATAACACACAATAGAAATTATTTGGGAAACCTGCTATAGTTCAGTTATGCTGACTTCTGTTCACTTAACCTGATTTAGAGACAAATCATTAAGTTAGGGCAATGAACAATCATGACCCTTCAGCTGAATCTCAAGAATCAGTGATCTCAACTAATGATTCCAGGTGAGCTAAATAGGCTTCATTATTTTGTTAAGTGAGTGAATGAACAAATGTATGTGCTCTGGGGATTATCTGCTGTTGGCTTCTCAGACGTAGTTTCATAGAAAAGTAGCAGCTTCGAAATAAGGTAACTACTAATTTTGTGACCTTTGACAACTGATTTAATGTCTATCAGCTTCAGCAAAATTGGGACAATAATATATAATTTGAAAGATTGTGGTGAGGACTAGTGATAACATATAAACCACCTAGTTCATAATAGGTAATTAATGGTAGCCATTTTTTTACATTGTTGATATAAAAAGCTTTTAATGTCGGCACACTTGACATTCTGTTGGGAAAAGTAATAATGATTTGTGTGTTCTCCTGGTTGTCTAACGGGTTGACCTGTGAGTGGAAGTAAAACTATTCTAAAGTTTTTATGAAAGTTAATTTAAAAAGCTTAGGGACGCCTGGGTGGCTCAGTCAGTTAAGCGTTTGCCTTTGGCTCAGGTCATGGTCCTGGGGTCCTGGGATCGAGCCCTGCGTCGCATTTCCTGCTCAGTAGGGGAGTCTGCTTCTCCCTCTCCCTCCGCCCCTGCTCATGTGCTCTGTCTTTCACTCACTGTCTCTTAAATAAATAAGTAATCTTTAAAAAAACTTAAGTGCTTAAGTACATTCTTTTTTAAACTTACTTAAAAATTGAATTATAATTGATGCACAATATTATATTAGTTTCATGTGCATGACAGCGATTCAGTATTTTTTTAAATATTTATTTATTTTAGAGAGCGCATGAGCAGGGGAGGAGAAGGAGAGGGAGGCAATCTCTAGCGGGCAGACTCTGTGCTGAGTGCAGAGCCCATGACTCTAAGATCATGATCTGAGCCAAAATCAAGAGTTGGGCACTCAGCCAGCTGAGCCACCCAGGCGCCCCTCAGTATTTTTATATATTATGAAATGATCACCTCGATAGGTCTAGTTACTGTTACCCTACAGAGTCATTACAGTGTTATTGACTGTATTCCCTTTGCTGTATGTTACATCCCCATGACTTACTTTATAACTGGCTTCTATCAGTTGATCCCCTTCCCCTAGGGGCATTAGGTGATGGATGATTTATAAAGAGCAGAAATGCATTGCTTACTGTTTTGAAGGCTGGAATTCTGAGATAAGGGTACCAGGATGGTCAGGTGAGGGTTTTCTTATAGATCACAGACTTTTGGCTGTGTCCTCACATGGCAGAAGGGGCAAAGGATCTCCCTAGACACATTATTGGTTGAGAAGCCCCTGTTTGGGGTCATAAAAGATGGAGGAACCATTGTTTTGGATGGGACAGTTTTTGAGTGTTAATTTTTCTCTCTCTCTTTTTTAAATGGTTTATAATGACATGGGAAATTTTTAAAAAAGATTTTATGTATTTATTTGAGAGAAAGAGAGCACAAGCAGGGTGAGGGGCAGAGGGAGAAGCAGACTCCCCGCTGAGTAGGGAACCTGCTGCAGAGCTCGATGCTAGAGATGCTAGAACTCCAGGATCATGACCTAAGCCGAAGGCAGACACTTAACGGACTGAGCCACCCAGGCGCCCCAGTTTTTCTCTTTCTGAACCATAGTAAAACCTAAACAAGTGTCCTGTGAAATTTCTTATTTAAAGGACCTATTTACTCCTTTAGGATTGCTAGGATGATTTAACTGGAGAATGGATCATCAAAACCTGAAAGCTAGAGTTATTTGGTTTTGGCCACATGAGAGTTTAAGCTAACATAATGTATTATTTTTAAGATTTTTATTTATTTCTTTGAGAGAGAGAAAGTGCACAAGCAGAGGGAGAGGGAGAAGCAGACCCCCCCCGAGTGGGGAGCCTGATGCGGGTCTCAGTTCAGGACCCCAGGATCATGACCCCGAGCCACCCAGGCGCCCCTAACATAATGTATTTAATGTAAGATGTCAATTTTAGCTTTAGGATAACTTGTTGATAATTTGGGATTGATAATTAGGATATTTGTTGATTTTTTTTAGAGTAACCAGGCAGTGGATTTGGATGTTTATTTTTGTGCTGGTTCCAGTAATGAAGTTACGTCAAGAATTTGGCTTATCTTCCTATGTGTTAAGAATGGTGGGTTTTCGTTCACTTAATCTAATAAGTTGAAGTGTTCGTCTATAATTTAAAAGTTGCAGCTTCACTATTTCATAGAACCTAAAGTTGAAATGTAACCTGTCAACAGACATTCTTCCCCCACATCCATTCTAGAAGAGATATTAGGCTGTTTGAAGCAGAAATAGGCTAGGATCCTTGGTGAGACTGTACAACTAGTTGATACTGTGCAACCCATAGATCATTTTATTTAAATTTTTTTTATTTGTTAGAGAGAGCACAAGCTGGGGGAGCAGAAGGCAGAGGGAGAAGCAGGCTCCCTGCTGAGCAAGGAGCCCGATGTGGGACTCAATTCCTGGGATCATGACCTGAGCTGAAGGCAGACGCTCAACTGACTGAGCCGTCCAGGCGTCCCCTCAGAGATCATTTTAAACTGAATTAGAAGGCTAGTGATAAATGAGTGGGCTGTATCAGTTTTTTCAGTTACATGTGACAGTATAGCTGTGATCATGAATTGAATTTTTCTGGTGAAAAATCTGCTTTTTCTTCATGCAAGATACCAAGTCCAAAAAATTAAACACATCCACATTAAATATGTGTAGTTCTTTGTGTATCAACTATACCTCAATAAAACTACTTTTAAAAATTTTAAAGCAAACAGTGTGAAGGGATATTGATCAAAGTAGTGAGTATATATATTAGGAAAGAGACAGATTTACTCTCCTGAGTTAAACTTAAGAGTTCATTTTTAGGAAACCTTATCTACTGAAAAGTTATCAATAAAAGAATGTACTGTTTGGGATTCTTAAAATACTAATAGGAAAAGATAGCCTATGGCAAAGGTAATTGAAAAAAATCTTTGATAAAGGATGAGTTTCCTTGATACCAAATGGGAAGAGTTCTGGTTCAAGAAGATGTGAAGAAATTGTCATCAGATCAGCTATAGACTCAAGATAATTTATGTGTAAAAGAAATCAGTACTTCTGCAGTTTCTCTTAGAGAAGCCATAAAAAGATGTATGTATAATGTCATTAATGACAAATATAATTTCTTAGTTCATCTTTAAGTCTCTGAAATGTTTCACACAATGATTTATACCCCTTCTAAATATTCAGTAAAAGGCTTCAGTTCAGTGATTAGAAAGTGGTCTCTTACATAGATCAGTGGAACAGAATAGAAAACCCAGAAATGGACGCACAACTATATGGCCAACTCATCTTCGACAAAGCAGGATAGAATATCCAATGGAAAAAAGAGAGTCTCCACAATAAATGGTGTTTCGAAAACTGGACAACATGCAGAAGAATGAAACCGGACCACTTTCTTAACTCCATTCACAGAAATAAATTCAAAATGGATGAAACACCTAAATATAAGACAGGAAACCATCAAAATCCTAGAGGAGAACACAGGCAGCAACCTCTTTAACCTCAGCCGCAGCAACTTCTTACTAGACACATAGCAGGAGGCAAGGGAAATAAAAGCAAAAATGAACTATTGGGACCTCATCAAAATAAAAAGCTTCTGAAGGAAACAATTTACAAAACTAAAAAGCAACCAATGTAATGAGAGAAGATATTTGCAAATGACATATCAGATAAAGGGCTAATATCCAGAATCTATAAAGAACTTATCAAGCTCAATACCCTCCAAAAACAAATAATCCAGTTAAGAAATGGGCAGAAGACATGAACAGACATCCGGAAAGAAGACATCCAGATGTGCTAACAGGCACATGAAAATATGCTCAACATTACTCATCATCAGGGAAATACAAATCAAAACCACAATGAGATACCACCTCACACCTGGCAGAATGGCTAAAATTAACACAGGAAACAGGATGGTGGTGAGGATGTGGAGAAAAGGGGAACCCTCCTACACTGTTGGTGGGAATGCAAACTGGTGCAGCCACTTGGAAAACAGTATGGAGGGTCCTCAAAAAGTTAAAAATAGAACTTCTCTATGGTCCAGCAATGACACTACTAGGTATTTACCCAAAGGATACAAAAATAAATAGTTGCCTTAAAACATACGCTTTTCATGTTGTGTAACTTCTTAGAGGCTTTCTGTATATTTGTAGCTGAAGATCCAGCCAGTAATTCATCCTGAGACTGTTTTTTGGAAAAAATAAAGCTTCCATATAAAAAAATTTTTTTAAAGAGACAGCCTAAACATTATCTTAAGTATCAAGAAAATATAAAAAGAAGTCATCACTTTGACCTCGTATGGTGGAGTCACTGAGAATATGAATTCCCAGGAATATTTAATCGGATAAATAAGGCTATACTACTACTACCTTTCAGCCTGTCAATTCCACTGAGAAACATCTTTCTCTTTGTTCTCAACTCTCCAGAACATTGAGCTCTCATTACTTCAGGCTGCAGTATTAAGGCAGGGACTCAGAGCACTGCTGTGAGTCAATGTGGAAATAGAGATTAACAAGGAGATCTGTAAAGGTTCCTGCTGGGTGACTTTCCTTACGGGACCTTGCCAAAGATATGGGGCTAGGTGTCCAGGACTTGATTTTTCAGAAGCTGTGGATTAGTGTGGAAAAAGAATAGTTCAGTCTGAGTGAAGAAAGTAGACACTTAACTTGTAACAGGATGGACCTGGAACATATAAGACCATATACCATAGTTTGTATCAAATATTTAGAAAGGGTAGTTGAAAAGCCTTTAAATGCTTTCCACCTTAATATAGATGGGCAAGGTGCCAATGATAATACTCCCCAGTCCATCAGGAGTGTTACTGACTCAAA